ACAATGCACTCTCACACTGAGATGGTACCGTTAAATAACCTGGGGCGGTGTATTTGTCCTTGAAACTTTCCAAAAATTCTTGCATTCTTTCACCCCCACCCTAGAACATTGTGTTCGCATAACGGGACGAAATAATGCAGAGCTCGGTTCACACTAGTGCGAAAATAGTGTTAAACTCACCATGTGAAACAAAAGTGAATGAATATTAAACAACATATAAACTTAAAAAAAAAAGCCCCGGTTAAGCCGCAAACCGGTTAATCCGCCCCCGGATAATCGAGAGTTGACTGTACTACAGTTTTAGGTATTCACGCTGCTTAACCGTTTTGCTATGTGTTATCTTCTCAACATTTTCCTAAAATAATGGGCTTTTTAGGCAAAAATGTGCAAGGAATGAGATAAAAATGCATTTTCATAGCCAGTGAATGAAGGTGCATGACACAGTGAAAGAGGGTGATTATTTCCAGGTGTGGAGTAGATTCAAATGTCACCCTGTACAGTAACGGATGCTTGTTTCACTTAAGTGGTATATTACAGGAACAGGGTTAAACCACATTTTTATGCTAGAAAGTGCTAACCTTCAGAAAACTGTCTTGCTGGAGTTGTTCATTGTCAGAAGCAGTTCAGAGGAGCACTAATTATACTTCTTTGTTTCCGTACTTTGAGAGCTTTATCTGTGTGTGAAATGCTTGAAGCAGAGACCCATGCACAGTTCAACATCACATTCACTGCATGTACGAGGGTTATCCAGAAAGTAATTTCTGATGGGCTATTGGGAGAAAACAGTTTATTTCCAAACCATTTATATTGCCATTTGATGTACGTATTGTGGACTACTTTTCAACATAGTTTCCACCATTGTTGAGGCAATTCTTATAGTAGGGTACTAGTTTTTGTACCCCTGCATCATAGAATGATGCCACCTGTGATGCAAGTCACTTGTTAATGGCTTCTTTGGCCTCGTTATCACCATGGAACTGCCAACCACTGAGGAAAGTTTTCAGATGTAGGAACACATGAATTCACTTGGCGCTAAGTCTGGGCTGTAGGGGGTAAGATGTAATTGTTCTAAGCCAAATGTCGCAATGAGTTCTTTGGTTGCAGCTACAGTGTGGGGGTGGGCATTGTTATGAAGCATCACAGCACACTGGACTAAGCATGCCAAGTAGTGTGTTCTGGATCACATGACACACTTTCTTAAGTGTGTTGCAGTAGACACCTGCATTGATTATTGAGCCTTGAGGCAAAAATTCCACAATCAGAACGTGTTTCTCTCCCAAAAACGCTCTGCACAGATCTTGCTAGTTGAAATGGTCTGTTTGAATTTTTCCTTTATTGGCGATCATGTGTGCCTCCACTCCATGGACTGCTGCTTCTATTAAGCGGTTGTGTGTGACACCCTTGTCTCGTCTGCTGTGACTGTGAGGCTCAAGAAATCTTTGCCTTGTTCACTGTATCATGTCAGAAGTGTTAATGCACTGGCCTGCCATTTCATTTTGTGTTCTTCCTTAAGCATCTTCAGCACCCAACATGAACACAATTTCTGAAAACGAAGTTTGTCAGACACAGTTTTATGAAGAAGAGACTGGTTTCATGTTTCTTGCATTCAAGAAACAGATTACAGACTGCATTTCACATGTTGCAGACTTCTCAGTTTTCTTGAACATTGCCAACACACATGATGATGCATAACTCGGTTCAGTTGTCTACAAATGACGTCTGTGCCTTCCCAGAGAACCAGCAAACTCTGCACACATGCTCACCATCATCATCACAGTGCTGTTGCTGCAGTATTGCAAATGGGACTTCTTTTGAAGAAAGCAGTCTTCTGGGATGTGGCGCTGTGTAGATATTGTGTTAACTGACATTTCGGAGGAACGTATCTTCTGAAGATGGAGGTGATACGTTCCTCCAAAACATCGGTTAACACAATATCTACACGGTGCCACATTCCAGAAGACTGCTTTCTTCATAGTCACCACCATGAAAACCTCAAATCTTATACGGGACTTCTTTTGTTGATATACCTCATATATCTGCTGTGTTTCCCGTTCTAGGATTCATGATAGAAGATGTATGCTCATGAAATTTCATCATTGCATTCTTTTGGGAAATAGTGTTGGGCATGTAATCTGTAAAGTGACAGTCTCTCAGATCTTGAGAAATTTCTTCAGTTGAACACTGTCCACACCTGGGTGAGATTCTTCTTTCAGAAACCCTCTGATAATGCTCATTTCAAAATCTGGAAAGGGAATGTGCTTTTCATTTTGCATGAGATGCAGTGCATATGCATTGAACAGTGCTAAGTGAGCAATGTAAAGTACCAATATTTTATGCCATTTCACAGATTTACGAAAGGATGAATGCACTGCACTCATTTTAATGTTTTTGTCGATAATGCTATTACGTGATGACTGAAAGGTAGAATATCAGGACCAGAAAAGTCGTCTTTTGCTAAGTAACAGCCAGTAAACATGTTTCCACAGCAACCAAAACACACCCCTGCCAACAATACCTGGGCCATTGCTAGGCAACAACCCACTTAACACATCACTGAACAATGGATGAATTCTGGGAAACACTGTTTTCTCTGCAGTCCACTCTGAGGCTGTATAACAGCCAACAGGACAAGCCAGTCAGTTGTAGTTGAGAGTCATGTTGCAAGTTGACAGTTGTAAGTCGGAGGTCAGGTTCAGTGGCTGAGAGTCTTGAATTGCATTATTAGATTTAGTTACCAAGCAATGACAAGTGAAGGCTTAGCATTTGCAGCAGTGATTGGTAGGGTGTGTAGGTTAGTGAAAATGTTATAATGATTTGTGGTTACAAGTTACAAGCATTCATTAACTCCAGTTATTAGTCCAAACCACATTGCTAGACAGTGACATGTGATAATATATTGTGGCTTCAGAATTGGTACTTTATTTTCCAGTATTTACAGAAGTATTCTAATGTCCTGTCTGTCACACCACTATATGGCCATAATTTAATTGCTGGTCATGGAGTATGCTTTGCTAGATGAAAGCTTCTATGGTAGAGGGGGCAGACCTTTTCTGTTGCCTTGTTGTGTACCACAGGAATTGGTCTTTAGTTTGTGGAGAAAGAGAAAACATGCAGGACTGGTGTATCAGTTATCATTATAAGCTGAGTGACATTTAGAGTGGTGAACCCAGATCCTGACTTGCTGAAAATGTCACAAGCCCTTTGAAGTCATTCTTCAGCTGTTTGTGCTTCATTATTTGGAAAATGGAGCATTCTAGGAATTGGAAGGAATCAGTCTCTTGCCATAGTTACTGGGACAGTTTTATAGAGGAATAGTAGAGTGCTGTCTGATGGCACGTTCACAGAAAACAATTTTTGTCTGTGAATAGAATGGATGATTCTGTATTCTCTGGCAGCAGCTGTAGCAGGTGTAGTACCTATAGAAATATGTTGATCTCGTTTGTGAGAATGTTGCAAAAAAGGAAAACTGAAATGCTGTTCTGGCTGGATACTGCTGTGACGTGTATTGATGTTTTGCTTGCTAAGCATGTATATACAGTGATCAGACTGCTTGCATACCGCCCTGATTTGAAGTCCATAGGATGAATCTGAGGTACTGTGAGAAACAAGATGGCCACAAAAATGTGATATTTGAACTGGGAACTATTCAGCTTCTGACACAGGAACAGTTTCCTGCTGTGAGAGAAGAAGGGTGGGCAGATATTCAGTTTCCTGCTGTGAGAGAAGGGTGGGCAGATATTCAGCTTCCGGCACAGGAACAATTTCCTGCTGTGAGAGAAGAAGGATGGGCTGCTGTCTGCAGACATACTGAAGATGTGACAGAAGAACACATGAGTAGACAGCATGGAGAGAATCATCATGAACCCCACTGATGTTAGCCCTGAAGAAGACATGAAGAGAGCTTCCCCACTCTCCAGTGGTAGAGAGTACAGCTCTGGTACACGCATTCATCGGTGTCATGAGAATCAAAAGTAATACAGAACTTGGAGCTGATGATCAGACAGTGGTACTTGGATTGTGACAGACTGTGTTTCCCCATACTTAGTTAGTTGTATGGCAAGAGGTACTTGTATATCAGTTCCCATAAGAACGGTTTTCAGTTACATGGCTGCTGTGATGGTCAGATTTTGCTGTTTATTTGTATTCTCCCATGCTCTTTGGTAGCGTGTCTTATATATTCATTGTGGGTGATAGTACTGGAGAGGCTTTCTGCTGCGTTTGAGGGGCATGTATCAGGCTTGCTTGCCCTTCTGTCCTGTTTCCCTTTCACTTCCCTTCTCTTGCACAGGTTTGTGCCATGAGGTACTAATTGAGGAATATAACTTTAATCGGTATTCTTTCAGAGAGTTATACTTATTTCTAACGATCAACATTAACAAACTGATCACTTGATGTGTATACCTGTTGGTCTCAATAGTAAAAACACCTGAGTTTGAGGCATCAGACTTGTGAACCGTCAGAATGAAAGTTGCATTGTTATTTCACTGTAGGTCCGAAAGAAATGGATATTTGCTGGAATCCTTTAATTTAGTATGACGCATTACAAATTTAACTTCACTAATTTCATTTCTGGTTCTCTTATCAGTATCTGCGTGCGGCTGACTGTCTGAATGTTTGGTATCACTTTTCTCACATTCACAGTTTTGTAGAGTTTTATTCACTTCATCAGCAGTCAGGTTTGAAGCATGGAATGCCCTCTGATTACTGCATTAGCTTGTACTTGTTTCAGCTACCATGATTTATGCACTACTAACATTTTCCTCAGTATTTTAAAATGAAAGTTGGGACCTCATTAGCAAAGCAGAAGCTTCAGTAAGACTTTCTTGTTACTGCCAGTGCATGCCAGAAGCATATACAGACATCTTACAGAGCTCTCACATGTGTATGGTTATTGTCCTGTGATGATGGAGTGTATATGCACAGCATAAGGCTGGACATGCTAGTGTCACCAAAACTCTGAAGGGGTAATAATTATGATCACACATTCCATTCTGTTCCAGCACTTTCAAGATGTAGAAGAATCACATATTAAACAAATGAAAGAATTTCTCAATACCTATGCTGAAGTACTGCAGAATAATCATGATCTCATTGGACAGGTGAGCTCTAGTCTTGTGCCCTTTAAATAAAGGAATAATGAAATGGTATCCCTTATTTAATAAGGTGTGTTTCATTAATACAGTTCTTCACATTTTTCATACTTACATCTTTTAATGTTTTGGTCATAATTTCTATTTGGTACAGTATGTCACCAACCTGAAACCATTAAACACGATATGGATTTTCATTCATCAGCAAGGCAGAGTTATTAAAATTGTTAAATTATATGTGGTGTGGGTTCCTTGCTCATGGCAGAGTAAGGAAGTACACTCAACTCTCGATTATCCGGGGGTGGATAAGCCGATTTGCGGCTTAACTGGGGCTTTTTTGAGGCTTATATTTTGTTTAATATTCAATCACTTTTGTTTCGCTTGGTGAATTGTAACGCTATTTTTGCACTAGTGTGAACCGAGCTCTGCATTTTTGGTTCCGTTATGCTAACGCAATGTTCTAGGGTAGGGGTGAAAGAATGCAAGTATTTGTGGAAAGTTTCAAGGACAGATACATCGCCCCAGTTAGTCTCTTTGTATCGATCTTCAAGTGCGTTAGCAAAATGTCAGAATGTGAAAGGAAGCGTATTGTGTTAAGTATTCAACAGGAACTCGTGTGAGCCGGGCTTCGAAATGTTAAGCAGTGACAAAATCGTAAGTTCAGTGGGGGTGCAGCCAGAAGAGCAGGAAGAAAGTGAGAATGAGGAAGAGGTGGACAGTGCTGCTAGTAAGAAAGTATCACATGGTGCTGCTCTTAATCATTTGGAATCCTTACTAGACTATCTTCAGAGTGAAGAGAACAGTTTATTAAGTGACAAGCTAATATTATGTAGGCTTCATATGGATATCCGTAAAAAGGAAAATGCCGCGAAAAAGCAAACGACAGTATAAAATATTAAGTGTTAAGTGTGAATATTCGTAAAAAGTGTTGGATGTTGTTGAACACTATGGTTGAAATAACTAATTCATACTTCAGTGTAACATAAAAAAAGTATTAAATAGGCCATGAGATGACATAAAAATGAGGTTGAATAAATTTAAATACAGGTAGGTCTATAGTATTGTAACGTGTTTTGAGTTTGTATCCCAAGTGGAAGAATAGTGCCTGGATTTGGTCACAGCCACTTCTGTTCACTTCCTTCCCAACTCATTGTTTACCAGTCCTACTACTTGATGCCGTAAGGTCCTAAGATATTGACAGCATCGTAAGATAATCCCAGAAAAGATCATGTACTTCGACTATTATCTCACATGATCCAACAATATTTTAAAAATTAATTATTGTTCCTACTTTCACTCTATTATTGGATTATTGTTCTGGGGACATTCCCCAGACAGTGTAAAAATCTTCAGGTTACAAAAGAAAATAATTATAATCACTCTTGGTTATAGAAGCCAAGACTCGTGTAGGAAATTGAAAATTTTGCATCTTCCATCCCAGTATATTTTTTCTCATCATCTTTCTGTGATCAGAAATAAGAAAGAGCATGTGGCTAATTCTGATGTATACCACACTGATGTGAGACGACATTTAAAACTTACATCAACCTTTACCAGATTTAACTAAATATCAGAAAGGAGTCTACTGTTTAGGTGCAAAGGTTTTCAGTGTGCTGCCTTCTTATGTTAAACAAAAGTCAGGCAGTCTGAAGAGATTTGATTCTGAAGAAATTTTTATATGAATGTTCATTTTATTCATTAGAAGAATATTTTCAAGTACATAACATTCAAAATTAGTATGTACTGTATCTCGTTGGAAATTCCTGTTGGATAGCATAAATCTGATACTCAGTACTGTCATTTTAAATTATAACTAATATTTCACCATCATATTATTTTTCACTTTCTCTTTTATTTTAAAGTTATTAAATATCTTTGAAGATCTTGATATAAATTTATATATTCCTGTGACTTCATAATTTGTAAATGTTGTGTATATAATTAATTATTTATGAGGCTGTTGAGAATTATCTGACAATTTTGTATATTTTATTATCTTGAGTATAATGATATCTTATAAATGCCTATGGTATTGTCAATCAAGGCAGACACATGTGACAGTATTTTATGTGCTCTGATATTCAGAAAAGTTCTTCAGGTGATCTTTTGCTATCTATTAATGTTACATTTCTGTTCTTATACTTACATTTATAAATTATAATTAATTCTGTAATTAAAGATAGCAAATTTTTAACATATTTTCCATATTCACTGTGTTTTTGAATTCTCTGTACTTAGTTTTTAACCACTCTTAAACATATTAAAATAATACTTATTCTGGATGAACTCATAAATTTGTAAATTCTTTATGTTTATAATTCATTTGTATGTGTTTATTGAGGATTAATTACCAAATTCTTAGTTGTTTTACTGAGTGTAATGACATTTTACAGATTCTTACTCATTCTATTACCACTAGTTCAAGTATTCAGTGTAATTTGTCAGTTTATTTATAAGATTTTCATTAATGTCAAAGTTTTTGTGTTCTTTATCATTCATTATCTTGAAAACAGTACTTGGAATTGAAATTTAAATCCACATTTATTGTAAATTGTATGACTTGTTCTGTATCCATCATGCTTTCCTGCTATGCATTTGTAGAATGTAAATTAAATTTGTACTTAAATTTCATGCTCCAGTATGATATGCACACTGATCAACAAAATGTGCTGTATTCCAGAACCAATTCCACACAGGCCAGAATGAACAGAATGCCATTAATGTAATACCAAGTAACTGTAATCACTAGAAAGCTCACAAGGCTGTTCAGAAACCTCTTGATCCCACCTACCTCATGCCCCGTTTGTAGGAGAATATAACGACTTAAAGAGAGAAAGTAAACAACACATTTAACAATACTTAACATAAGCTTCAGCTGCAGAGAAGACTAAATTGTGTCTATACATGTAAACTAAGATTTTGTATAATACTGCAGTGCATTTGCATGTACCCAAGTATATTGTAACGTTTGTCATTGTGTGGAACATTTATTGTCTTACCACTAGCCACTTGTGATTTTGATATCATTTTGTCCACTACATTTCACCTTAATATCACTACACTGAACTGACTACTCTGCTTTGTTGCACTCAGCTCACTCTTATACCATTCTGTGCTTCACGTCTGGTTCTTCACACATGTCTTTGCTGTGCCGCATCTCAGCTCAGACAGTTCTCTTTGGGAAGGGCAGCTCCCCTAGAAGTGGGGGGAGCCTCAGTGTTTATAACAACAGAGATTCAGCTCTTGTGACAGTGTTGTCATGTAGCTGTTGAAGCCTCTTCGCTCACACATGGAGCTGAGCCCTTCTTGAGAAGCAGCATTTTATGGAACCCGAAGGTTCATTACCATGTTCACAGGAACCCTCCAGCGGTCCCTATACTGAGCCAGATTAGTCCAATGCATACCATTCCATCCTATCTCTCTGAGATCCATTTTAATATTAACCATCCACCTACACCTTGGTCTTCCCAGTAGGCTCCTTCCTTCCAGCTTTCCCACCAATATTCTATATGCATTTCTTCTCTCATCCATTCATGCAACATGCCCTGCCCATCCCATTCTTATTCATCATTCTTATTATACTTGGAGGAGAATACAAGTTATGAAGCTCCTCATTATGCATTTTTCTCCAACCTCCTGTCACTTCATTTCTCTTCGGTTCAAATATTCTCCTCAACACTCTGTTCTCTAACACCCTCAGTCTATGTTCTTCCCTTGATGTAAGAGACCAAGTTTCACACCCATACAAAACCACAGGCAAAATTATAGTTTTGTATATTCTAATTTTTATGTTTTTTGACAAGAGACAGGAAGACAGAAGGTTCTGAACTGAATGATAGCAAGCATTACCCAAGTTCAATCGCCTTTTAATTTCCTCCTGAATCAGGTTTTGATTTGTTATTGTTTCCAAATATCTGAACAGTACCACATTTTCAAAACGTCTGTTACTTATCTGTATGTCATGATTTTGCTTTTCATTTTGGTGACAAGACAGCAGCATATACTTAGTTTTCTCTGTGTTTACTTCTAGATCAATCTCCTTACTAGTGTCAATTAAAGTTTGTGTGTTTCTCTTTATGGTATCTATATTATCACCCAGTAGGTTCACTTCATTGGCATAGACCAGCAGCCGATATTGTGTATCTTCCCATCAGTAAATGTCCAAGTAAATTTATGGATGTTACAATGTGGGAAGATTGTAGTTTTGGCAGTAAGATTTTTCAGTGTGGCAAAGTTTACTACTCTAACTGCATTATTGTTACTAATTTCATGTAAACTCTCATTCCGAATTGTTGGTTTGGAAATGTCTTCCCTCCCCACTTTGGCTTTGAAATCTCCTAACAAAATTTTCATAGGATACTTTGGGAATTTATCAGATACATGTTCTAGTTCTTTGTAGATCCTGTCCTTTACATAATTTTATCTTCTGTTGGGGCATGAACAGTCACAATGAAGATATCACACCAGTGCCCTCTTGGTATTATATATGCCATTTATCACCAACGAACTCTGCCCTCTTAACTGATGATAAAATTCTCTTATGTACAAAAAAAAACCTGTAAGTAATTCATGTTTTTCATTCCCCTTTCCATAGAAAAATGTATATTTGCCTGCTGGCCCACTGCCACCTTCATCCCATCTGACCTTCTGTACTTCCACTAAATCTAACTTATATTTTGAGATTTCTTCTGCCACTGCCCTGAGTGAACCTGCCCAAAACATACTTGTAACATTGCAAGTATCTAATCTTATATCCATTTTCTCTAGCCTAGGTTGTTTATCCAGAGGAATCTGTCCAGGTCCGAGACTTTGAACATTTTCATGACAAGCTTATTTTTTAGGGTGAGAAGTTGTTAGCCCCATGCCCAACCTCCAAGCTGGAGGGCCACCCCTTGTCAGCTCTCTGTGACTGCTTATATGCCACCGCTGGTGGGGGAAGGGGTGTCCTGCATAGCGCAAATACGTCACAGTATATTGGCAGCTTCCCTCCATACCTGGAGGTCGTCTCCTCCATCCGCAACCTGAGGACACGGCATGCCATGGTGACAGGGGACCCACCTAGAATGATCTGAACTTCAAATTTCATATTGCTATTTCTTTTATCTTGTGAGCTAATTATATTGTTATCAATTACATCTTTCATAAATATTCTCATATGTTGATACATTTATGGTTTTTTATGTAAATTGATACATTGCTTCCCTCTGTAATGCTATTAAGAATCAGTGACACAGTAAAGTGGCTTAAAAATAAAATTGTGAGGTGTTTGGTATTAAAAGCAGTTTTGTATTTTGGAGGAGAGAATTGTTGATTTGGAGCAATATGGGTGTGCTGTTCCTGCTTGATGACAAAGCTTTCTTGCATTGGAAACATCTGATTTTTTTAATTGATTCTAGGTTCACATAGAATTTAAACGACAATGTTTGGAAATGACTGTGGATAAACTTCTTGAGCAGTTTGTACTGAACAAATACACTGGACTAGAGAAGCCAGGTAACTGTTTTTAATACTTTTCTTACTTTGTATTAACCTGTTCAAGCCAGTCTGCCATAAACTTTTAAACATCAAAGTTTCTGCTATTGCAGCAGCTCAGAAATATTACCAGATGAATGCCAAAAGTATTGAACCTTTTGGATAGCTAATGTGTCATATCTGTATGGATGTTTTGTTGTTTTTGGCATTTATTTTGAAGTGTGTGATTTAATTCTGCATAGGTATTTTGAATAGATACATGCATGCAGCAAAATGAATTCATTCCATTCTCTCTCATGAAGCAAAAGATTTTAGTTTTAGGAAATATCCTGTCTTTTCTTTTGTTCCTTTATTTATTGTTTGCTCTGCATGTATAGAATATTAGTCCTCTGTTTGAATTAGTTGAACTCCAGAATGAAATTTTTGAGTGAAATAAGGATTTTGCCTGAAAATATTAACTTTGGATTTGATTCAACAGTAGGAGTCAAGATTTCCATATTGACTTTGAATCACATTGCTGAATATATAAGGTGTCCAGATGAAAGTTATCCAAAATAAAATTTATATACCTCAGAAACCAATTGTCATACACGTATCCGGTTTATGTCATCGGAAAGGAAAACTGGAAGTTTTTTTTTTTCATACCCAGCTTACATGCATATGCCACCACATTTTTGCCACCATGTTAGGAATCACCTGGACAGAGAGATGGCTGGGATATGAATTGGCAGACATAGACCAATTGCTTGGCCTCCTAGGTCGCCAGATTTAACCCCAGTGGATTTTTACTTGTGGGGTTATGTTAGGAACATTGTCTCCCAGGTTAAGATCAATGACCTTCTACATCTGAAAGCCCGCATAAGGGACACTGTGGCTATGGTAACGCCAAACATGCTTCAAGCCTGGATATTTGTCGTGCCACCAAGGTAGCCTAGGTGTAGATTTATTGAGATAGTTATATACGCAGAAAAACTTTGATACTTTCCCTTTGTAATGGTGTAACCCATTCATGTGTATAATAAACTCTTTCTGAGATGTAATGAATTAATTTGGATACCTTTCATCTGGACCCCTGTATTTTGTGGAGCATTTGTAGAGTAGTTGATATGTACTGTCCGCATTAGTGATGTGAGTCCTAGATTGGTTGTGCTATCACAACTGAAACTGGTATGGAATCTTGATCAGAATAATCACACATGCATGTATAAAGTCACTGACATTTATTGCGGGGAAATTTGAGGTTCCTGTTTCATAGTTCATGGTCTTCAGGAAATTTGTATGAGCAGGGCGATTGTCTGTTGATTGTGACTTGGTGTGTGTCCTCTTATCTTTAATAGCTTAAAATCTTTTAATGGTAAAGCAGATCTCTTGCAATTAAGAAATTTTTTCAATTTGAAATAAATGTTAATAGAATATTTTTGTAGAATGATCTCCAGTAAAAAAAGCAAACTTTATTTACATTGTATATTAACACCATGTTTTTGTGTAGGTTTTATACATTTAAAGGTTTAATAAAATTGTAAGTTTATCTTAGGGAATTTTGACTGGGAAATGTAAATAAAGACGTGCCAGTGAAAAGATTTTTATGATATTGTAATGGTTGTAGGTGTAAGTTGTTACAGTGACATTAAAAATTCAGATTTTATTTTTGCTTCCATGAGTAGTGGTACATGAACTTCCTGGGAAGTGGGCTTTTGAATTGTGAAATAACACTAGACAGTAGATTTGTGAAAGGAGACCAATAAATTGTGTTTTTTATATGTATGTTCATTCATTGGAAGCTGTCATACCCTGCTTGCAGAAGTGTGATTATTGTGTATTTGCTAATTGACTTGTATGTCCTAATCCCTTATGAACTGTGTGAAGCATTAATATGAATCATTATATAGTAGCTAGTATAATTGCATGCAAATTAATATCCAAGGTAACAGTTTTGCAGTTTGTTTTTCCACTTCAAGTGAGTGAGTGTAGATTGTGTTCTGTTGACTGCGTGAAATACTTGAAACGCATTATCAACTATTTGTGTAAGTGTAATTTTGAGATACATTTTATGGGAGTGGTTCATAGAGAAGGGACTTTACATTTAGTATGCTTTTGAAAATTCTTGTAGTTTGGACATACATAAATCATGAATAAATTCTTATAACTATGAAACCTGGATTTTTTAAGCACAATGAAGTTATCTTTACCATAACAGGGCTTTAAATTTTATCATTCAGGAATAGGGATGTACCTTGTAGTATGGGGTTGTTGGCCAGATTTTGGCTTGGGTATAACCATTTGTTGTCCTGGAATAGGATATTATAAATTTCACAGTACTGCAGGTCTGATGGCTATATTTTACTTTGGCAGTTATATTGTTAATATTGAAGAAGTGCAGCATTTGGGCAGTTTGGCTGTGTACATGGGCTGTTGCATGCCCAAGGTAAAGGTATCAGATAATAAGCTGTCATGTAAATGTTTAAATAAATATTCAGTATTTAGAAGGACGATTAGTCATTAACAGATGGGATTGGAGTATTTTGTTGTATTAACAATCAAGTTCCTTCCGTCAAATGTGACACTTTTATAAGTTTTCCACCTCGTCACCACCTGCCTTACATGTTTCGGCTCACCACGGAGCCATCATCAGAGGCATTTATAGTAGAAAAAGAAATGTAAGGCAGGTGGTGACGAGGTGGAAAACTTATAAAAGTGTCACATTTGACGGAAGGAACTTGATTGTTAATTTGTTAGTGTGACGGACCAGAATGAAAGACCTTAAAAATTTTGTTGTATGTTTTTTAAAAGGCATAGAGAGGGGGCTTTCAGAAATTGTCATTGAGATGTATGATGCCAATTTGAGAGCTGTAGTTATTTTCTCAGAAAGTTAACCTGGTTTTGGTACTAATGCCTGTTTGATGTAAAAGTGACCCATGACAACCACTGCTGCACATGAAGCAACTGCTCTTCAGTTCTGTGGCGGCAAAAAATGAGGCATTGGTCAGTAGGAATATGTGACTTATAATTCATATTAAGTTAGTCCCTAGTCACATTGCCATTGTACTTCTTCATGTTGGAGTTGGAAGAGACTGCCTTCACATATGAAGGGTAGCTATAAATAGGCAGTCATAGACACCTCTCAGGGTGTGAACATTCAGCTTGGAGGTTGTGTGGGGGTGTAACAGTTACTCATTGTAAGAAAGTGACAGGTTGTCAAGAGTTACAAGGGGCCTAGGAAAGATAGGTGACTTTGCAATATTTTGTTCAGAAAATGTTACAGGAAGAGACCACCAAGGAGACCTAGGTATAGTTGAGAGAATAGTATTACAATGGTTCCCAGAGAGTAAGGTGGGAGAATGTGGACTGGATTCATCTAGCCCTATATAACACCTGTAGTGGTTTTATGAATGTTTCAATGAATTTCTTGACTTTCTGAGTGACTCCTACCTAGTTAGTTAGTTAGTTAGTTAGTTATTGGAGAGGGTGGGTTTCCCCATGCACCATGACCAGTTTGATCTAGTGTGCTTCTGTCTCTGATATTCTACCAGTCTCTATACCCTACCGATACTTGTGCTAACCATCAGTCCCGACGAAGCCAGCGAGATTGGCCTCTACTGGCTTGGCGGTATCTATAATGCTTCCCCCATCTATCAGAGGCGTTGGAGACTGCTGTTGGGTGGGAAATGTCCTTGAATTTGGCTCAGTGATCTCCTTAGAAGATATGAGGTTCTTTTACGTGCCGTAAAGCTACGACACGGGACCCACGGCTTAAAGTCCCTCCTGGAGGACTTGTTCCCTAAATTTTTCCGCCCTTAAAAATTCCACGACCTCCGCCGGGTATTTGAACCCGTGTACTACGAGTCATGAGGTGGGAACATTACCTCTAGACTACGGAGGCCGCTGACTCCTACCTATATTATATGAATAATTATTCTGCTTGTTGGAGTTAGTTAGTTAAAATGATCTAATGCGCAGTTTCAGTGCAATTTATATACGCAGCGTGGCGATTAATTTCCCGAACTGAGGCCATGAAAACCACAGAGAAGAGATAAAAAATATTTATTAATACCATCACTCACTATAGTCCCCACCAACTTCCACACAATGTTTATATCACTCATACAACAAATCAAATGTGTGAGAAAATGCTTCTTCCCATATTGCCTTCTGTTCTGTTATCACAGTCTGCTGGATCGATGAAACAGCCTCGAATCTTGTCCTTTTCATTACAGTTTTTAATTTAGTAAATAAAGTCAGCTGGCACTAAATCATGAGGGTAGGGTGGATGGGATAACACAGGGATCCCTCGTTTCACCAAAATCTTGGAGACAACACCCAAAGAATGTGCCAGTGTTGTGTCATGCAGAAGATAACAGGACCCACTTTCCTGAAACTCAGGTCAGATGTGATAATTTTGAGTGACCAATCTCTTAATCACCTCTTTATAAAATTTACCATTTAAAGTCCGTTTTTCTGGCACAAATTCTTGATGAATGATACCTTTAGCATAAACAAATGTGGTCAACATTGTTTTCACCCATGATTTTTGCATTCTCATTTTCTGAGCTTTCAGATTTTTGGACTCACTGAAGTTGCACTGTGACGTTTTGTTACATTCATCATCCATTACAGCCCTTTTTAAAACATTTCTATCATAATAAGTCAATTCAACAAATTGAATAAACGATGCAACGCGTTGATGTTTTTGATCTGGTGTTAACAAATGAAGAACAAAATGAGCACACACTTCTTTCTTTTTAAAATCATCAACTAATATCTTAACATTCTGTCCCTCTGTTGGTTGCTATCATTTTTTCTAACATCCAAACGCTCAGAGTTTGATCTTCGGCCAAACACTTTTGAATGACTTCCATTGATTCTTCTCTTCTGGCCTTTCCTTTCATCTTGTAACGACTCTCACCCTTCTTTGAACCCTATATGCCATTCAGACACACTTTTTCTTGATAAACATTCTTCACCGTAAACACTACTCAACATTTCAAACGTTTCAGTAGCTCTTTTCTCTAATTTTACACAAAACTTAATCACTGCTCTTCCATTTTGAAATCTTCAACACAATGTAAAAACTAACTTACACCAAAACAGTTGTCATCCTCGCATGAATCAACCAAACAAGTTGAAACTTGCACATCATATAAATAAACATTCTCTCTGACTAGTCCCAGTCATCCCCAATAGATGACAGTAGTAGTATTACTGTAATAGGTCATTTCGGGAACTTAATTGTCATACTGTGTAACCAAAAAACTCTAGCAAAGAATGGGCACTTCCTCTAGTTTCATGTAAAGTAGTATCCATATATCTACAGATTTAATGGAAATATAGTTTATAAATAAAATAATATGTTATAAAAGAGTTATTAGTTGTCCTTTGTCTTAGGTTGACATATTTGGAATCATACATTATATCATTACTACTTGTACTCACTTTACACTCGTTTCCTAACAAATATTTTCATTCTCTTGTAAAGTCATATCTGTAAATTATCTGCATCAAGTGAAATGTGCAGTATTGAAATCTGTAGGGCAACTGAATTTGGGTTTTTAGTTTTTATGAACATTGTTATGTATCCTAAAGTAGGCTGTGAGTAGTTCTTACTAATTCATATTAATCGTTGCTGCTAATTTCTCATTATGGGCATCTCACCTAGAAGTTTGATATACAAGCCCCAGTGTTATGACAAGTTTCCAATCCTCAAACCAACACATATTTCACATATATGTAGGTAAGTCAATAAGTAAGTTACAAATGGATATAGAACTTAAATAAATAAGAGTACTGATTTGAAAAATGCTTTTATTTCTCAACATAATCTCCATGTACACTGAGGCGCTTGTCCCATTGTTTCACAAGGCCCTGAAAACCAGAAGCATAAAATTCTTTGGGCTGGTGTCGGAACTACGCGTGTTCGCACAGCATGGCCTACCTCATGATGCATGACAGGTTAGGTTTTCACAAAGTGTGCACGATGGGTGCCGTGCATGCTGACCCCACAACACAAAATGCAAAGAATGGGTCTGGCATTACAGCATCTCAATCACTACCATGATGAAGGACACAATATGCTAGCCCGAATTGTCACAGGTGATGAGTCATGGGTTCACCATTACCAGCCCGAGACAAAGCGTGCATCAATGCAGTGGAAACATCCTGTGTTGCCTTGGAGCTGGAATGTGGTGAGCAGCATGCCTTTGTGATCCCAGAAGACTGTGAGCATCACTTTCCTGGAGGATGGTGTCACATTAAACTTTTTTTTGGCAGGTGATGCAGGATGTTTCCACTGCATTGATGCATGCTTTGTCTTGGGCTGGTAACGGTGAACCAAAAACTCGTTGCCTGTGACAATTCGGGCTAGCATATCGTGTCCTTCATTGTGGTAGTGATTGAGATGCTGTAATGCAAGACCCATTCTTTGCATTCTGTGTTGTGGGGTCAGCATGCGCGGCACCCATCGTGCACAGACTTTGTGAAAACCTAACCTGTCATGCATTATGAGGTAGACCATGCCATGTGAACACGCCTGGTTCTGACAACAGCCTAAAGAATTTTATGCTTCTGGTTTTCAGGGGCTTGTGAGACAATGGGACAAGTGCTTCAATGTACAGGGAGATTATGTTGAGAAATAAAAGCATTTTTCAAATCAGTACTCTTATTTAAGTTCTGTATCCATTTGTAACTTATTTATTGACTTATCCTCGTAGTTCCACAGTCAGATTGTAATTATTCCTTCCACTTATTCTCCTTATTAGTACATGGTGTGTCCCAGTTTGATTTAGAAGGAGTACACCGAATTTTTTGGTTACATTCATATAGTGATTCTGAGTTAAAAAGAAAATGCTTTTTAACATGAATCAAATTTGGAAAGTTTGAGTCAAGACATACTAGAAGTAAGAATTTTAATGACAAATTTTACAGTAACATCACTGCAACTCAGTGGTAGACATTGTTTAATACAGAAACATTTTATAGAATTATTCAAAGTGTACATCTTGAATTCAGTGCATGTGCGCACTGTGTGTCCAGCCATATTACTAGTAGCCCATGCTCAAGTGTGTAGCTTGTTTCTAGTGTATACTGTGGAGTTACATGAATCGTGTAAATAAAATACAGAGCATGTGGTGATTTCTGAAGGTAAAGAAGCAAAAAGTTCAGAGTTGTATTTATTCAGTCATAACAACTAGATTCCAGGTTGTAGTAATATCTCTGTTTACAACTTATTCTGGAATAAATCTCAGTGAATTATGTATCTTTCTATGAAGGCACCTATGTGTGGTATCCCATTCCAGAAGACTTGAATCTTAAATTTATATTCACCTGATTATGTACAGTATTAACGCCCACCAACATGGGAAGCTCAGATCTCAGTGTCAGATTTGAATCAATTTCCTCAAAGAACTTTCTTCATTTTGTCTACAGTTGTAATAATTTGTTGTTCTGTTTACAGGTTCTATAGAATTTGAGGAACTGAATATGTCAGGATTAGCTTCAGTTAGTAACCAGACACCTGATACCACAGATAAAACAACAAATGGTGATAAGCCTTCCAAAAAAGAAGGTAATCTAGAGTCTGGTGGCCAGAAACCAAAAGAAAGCAAAACATCCCGCCGCACTACCTCCCTTCTGAACCTCTTCATGTCTAACTCCCAGGGTATGTGTGAAAACTTCAGCACTCATTTCTTCCTAGGTGGTATTAATTGTGTTAACCCTCACACCCAGTTTCAAATGATGGTTTGCAGACACAGTACTTAACGTTACCTCTCTCTGAAGTACTGCTTATCTAAGAATAGCATGATGTAACTTCAGCAGTGTAGTACTAAAGATATCAGTCTACATCTTCCTGTTCTTAAGGTTTGTTTAATTCTCTTAATCATGTTCTTTAAGTATCCATATTTATAATTGGCTAATGCCATTCTGTGATTATGATAGTTAGCAGTCATATTTGGTAATATTTACAAGTAGAGGTAGAAGATAGCAGCAGTAATTGGTAGTGAAAGATACACTTTAGTCATTATTGCAGTGTTGATCATTTTTGTGTGAAATCTATAGTCATACCAGACAGCAGTACTTAACATTACTAGTGTCAGTAGTCCAGAGTGTGCTCTCCTGAGTTGAGGAGGTGGATACCAGTGTTTTGGAAGAACAAGCTACATCCATCTTCAGGGTCAGCATGATTGGGGAGGAGAGGGGATGTATAGGCAGTGTGACAAAGAATGTTATTCAGAACTGTGGTAGGGCAGAGGAGGAGCTGTGTCAGGAGAAGTAGGAATGTTGCAACGTAGTTGTGTCAGGCTGCCCTTTCACAATAATTGCTAATTGAGAAAGTATGATGAAACATAATGTGAAAATTTGTGCTTTTGCTGTAATTTCAAAGTGTCATGGATTGTGNGGGGGGGGGAGGAAGTAGAACCCTGTCCAAGCCAGTGTGAATAGTGAGAAGCTGCCCTTTTGTATCAGGAATATGAGACTTTCTTGTGCTTAGAGAGCACTGGTATCTACACAGTCACAACTCAGGAGTCCACTGTCTGAACACTTACCAACTTGAAGACCTAAAGTTGTAGAGTCATTGTTTCAAATCCTAGAAATTGTGTGAGTTATGTAGTTAATTCAGATATTCCCATAAATGAAACATTTGTCAGTAGCTCAGCTGGTTATTTACTGACATGACTGTACTGTTTAAAATTTAATCTGTGCTTACAGTCGTTACATCTATGATTTCATCCGTCCATATAATTATCTGCTCACCACTGATGATCTTCTCATGGATTCTTTATAACCTCTGCATTTGAAACAGCATCATTAACTTCTTCGTGACTTGATTGCACCTTGCCTGCTCTTATAGCTGCATTTAAATGATAGCAAGATCTTGCTGTTGCACTGTTCCCTTATTTTTAGGTGTGTGGCATATGTGGGGGAGAGTCAGTAAGTAGGTCACAAATGGATATGACATGTAAAAGATGTGATATTCGAACCTGGAAGAAACATTTATTTCTCAACATATCCTCCACCAACATTGATACACTTGTCCCATCGCTTTACCATTGCATGGAACCTGCAGCACAGAAGTCTTGACTGTTGTCTCGGCCAATTCCACACTTCTGTTTCAACCTCTTCATCATCCGTGAAACGTTTGCCACCCAGGTGGTTTCTTTAACAAACTAAACAGATGAAGTCACTAAGGGCCAAGTCCAGGCTGTAAGGCAGATGTTCAGGAAGTTCCCACTGCAGTTCTTGAATTCTCTTCTGGGTTGCTCAGGCTGTATGATGGTCTGGCATTGTCATGATGGTGCAGTACCCCTCTTGCCAGTTAGCCTGGACGTTTTCTGCAAATTGCGTCTCAAAGCTTCGACAAAGTTTCACAGTACAATGCAGAATCCACATTTTCCTCAAGCTTTTGAAAGTAGTGTAACAGCACACCATGAGGATCCCAATACATGGTGAGCATAAACTTCCCAGCTGATGGCATAACCTTAAACTTTTAGGTTGAGGGCAAATTGGGCTGTTTCCATTGTGCTGAAGCACGCTTTGATTCAGGTTGGTAGTGATGCAGTCATGATTAATTCCCAGTAACAGTCCTGTTCAGCATATCTCCTCCTTCATCTGCATACAGTAAGAGATGTTGCAAGGACAGATCTATTCGGTTAATTTTTTCTTGGTCCTGCAGTTCTCTGGTAACCTACCGTGTGCTCACTTCCTGAAACTTCAAATGATCTTGCATTATGCTATATGCTAAACCATAGGAATACCCTAATGTATTTGCCACGCTCTCTGTCATTATCCTGCTGTCACCTCAAATCTACTATTCCACCCACTGCACAGTTGCTTCTGTTGCAGTCCCAGCAGGGCCACATGGTTGGGCATCGTCTGCAACTTTCGAACATCCACGAGAGAATTTCTCCATGGCAAACATGTCCCATCGTAAACAGGAAACCATTTTTTATGAATATCCTTTGCATTAAGTTCTTTTGTCCACAAAAACGCACGGCAGAACACTGCTCTTTAGTAGTACAATCCTCAAATATGTTCACTGTTTTGGCTACTGAAACCAGCCTTTGAACATGAGCATCTGCTACCTAGACTCATGAAGCTTGTCCGTGCTACTACCTAGTGATTACTTTACTTACTCATGGAGCTGAGCCCTTCTGGAGGAGCCGCCAATTCTGCAGCTACTCAAGAATTTCCCAGCATTTTATGGAACCCGAAGGTTCATCACCATGTTCGCAAGAGCCCTCCACTGGTCCCTATCCTGAGCCAGATCTATCCAATCCATACCATCCCATCCTATTTCTCTAAGATCCATTCTTATATTGTCCACCCACCTACGCCTTGGTCTTCCCTGTGGTCTCTTTCCATCTGGGTTTCCCACCAATATCCTATACGCATTCCTCGTCTCCCCCATTCGTGCTACATGACCTGCCCAGCTCACCCTCCTTGGTTTGATCATTCTAATTATACTTCGAGAAGAGTACAGGTTATGAAGCTCCTCATTAGGCAGTTCTCTCCAACCTCCTGTCACTTCATCTCTCTTCAGTCCAAATATTCTCCTCAACACTCTGTTCTCAAACACCCTCAGTCTATGTTCCTCCCTTAATGTCAGAGACCAAGGTTCACACCCATACAGAACTACAGGCAAAATTATAGTTTTGTATATTCTAATTTTTATGTTTTTGGACAAGAGACGAGAAGACAAAAGGTTCTGAACTGAATGATAGCAAGCATTACCCAAGTTCAGTCACCTTTTAATTTCCTCCTGAATGAGATTTTGATTTGTTATTGTTGTTCCCAAATATCTGAACTGTGCCACATTTTTAAAAGATCTGTTTCCTATCTTTATGTCATGATTTTGCCCTGCATTTTGGTGATGAGACAGTAAGATATACTTAGTTTTTTCTGTGTTTACATCTAGAGCAACCTCTTTACTTGCGTCAGTTAAAGTTTGTGTGTTTTTCTTTATGGTATCTACATTATCACCCAGTAGATTCACATCATCGGCGTGGACCAACAGCTGATGTGTCCCGTTTAATTTCAGTCCCACCTGGTTTCCCTTGTTTTAGACCATTCTGGATAGGAAATTTATCAGACAAATGTTTACCTACACGGACTTTACTATACGTTTCGTTTAAACACATTTTAATCAACCTAACTCTATTAGAATATTGTACAATACTTCTCTCCTAACTGAATCATAGGCTTTCTTGAAGTCTATGATAGCTGATGTACTGTCTCATTGTACTCCCATTTTTTTCTCCAATATCTGACGAATGCAAAAGATCTGATCTGTAGTTGATCTGTTACGTCGAAACCCACGCTGATGATCCCCAATAATTTCATCTATATATGGACTAAACCTTGGAAGAAGAATATTGGACAAAATGTTATATGACGCTGATAGCAGTAATATCCCTCGATAATTACTACAGTCAGTTTTATCGCCCTTCTTTTGCACTGGTATAATAATAGGCTCCTTTCACTAATCAGGCAATTTTTCCTTATGCCAAATAGAAGTAATTAGATTGTTGATCTTAGAATGTAATATTTCGCCTCCTGCATGAATTTGCTGGAATTTGATCACTACCTGGCAATTTATACTGTTTCAATTTTGCAGTAGCACTTTCAACCTCAAAAGGGCTAGGATCAGGTACTACCTAGTGATACACATAGAAAACCTATTATGTCCATTACAGCTGTTTTACTTCCATTTGTGACCTATTTACTGACCCCCTCATGTCAGCAGAGATATGGTACGTTTATTTGTACATAGAGGCTGACTGAATCTCAGAGATGATGTTAGTAGCTTAACTAACTAACTAAGTGACTTTACTTGAGCTGTTCTTGAGAAGCCACCACTTGTGCAGCTACTCAAGAATTTCCCAACAGTTTATGGAACCCAAAGGTTCATTACCATGTCCACTAGAGCCCTCCACTGGTCTCTATCCTGAGCCAGGTCAATCCAGTCCATTCCACCCCATTCTATCTCCTTAATACCCATTTTAATAGCATCCTACCATGTATGTTTAGGTCTTCCTGGTGGTCTCTTTTCTTCTTGCTTTCCCACCAAAATCCTGTATGCATTCCTGTTTGCCCCATTTGTTCTATATGCTCTGCCCATCTCGTCTTCCTTGACTTCATCATTCTGAATTTACTTGGAGAAGAGTACAAGTTATGAAGCTCCTCATTGTGCAGTTTCTCCAACCTCCTGTCTCTTTCCCTTTAGTCCAGATATCCCTCTCAGCACCCTGTTCTCAGATACTCTCCATCTGTGTTCTCCTTTAATGTCAAGAGACCAAATTCCACACCCATAGGCAAAATTATGGTTTTGTATATTTTGATTTTTGCGTTTTTATACAGCACACATGAAGACAATAGGTTCTGGATTTAATGGTAGCAAGCATTACCCCTGTTCAGTCTCCTCTTGATTTCCTCATGAATCAAATTTTGATTTGTTACTGTCATTCCCAAATATTTTAATTGTGCCACATTTTCAAAGGCTCTGTTAGCTACATCTATGTTATGGGTTTGCCCTACATTGTGGTGACAAGACATCAACATGTACTTAGTTTTCTTTGTGCTTACCTCTAGACCAACCTCCTTACTTGCACCAGTTAGAGCTTCTGTGTTTTTTTATGGTATTTATGTTGTCTCCCAATGGGT